CGACGGACCTTTTGATGACTTTTGGTCGGTTGAAAATTTTGTTCTCGAAATTCAACAATTCGTTAAAGCTCTAGTTTTTTTTCCCGTGATTTTCGATCTTATTCCCGCTCGCCGTCTTAATCTCAGGTCGATCGGGTAGATATTACTGCCGAACAGCGTCCAGGCGGGATCGGCCGTTTCGAGTCATCTTGATATGCGTTGTCGGTTTTTTGTGCTTAACCCGAGATTTAGGGGAGCTACAGAGCTCATAGTCACAGAAACCTATTCAGAATCATCAGGCGCGTTCGTCTGTTGAATCGAGAGCTCTGAACTCGGTCTGCTGCCCGAGCTAGGTTCGCGAAGCTATTCGTATTGTTCGAGTCATCTTGAGAGGTGTCGTCAGTTTTCTGTGCTTAACTCGGGCTGTAGGGGGGCTACAGGGCTGGTAATCACAGGAATCGATTTTGAGACATCAGGCGTGTCCGTCTGTCGAATCCAGAGCTCGGAAATCTTTGTCTTCTGCCCGAGCTAGGTCGCGAAACTATTCGTATTGTTCGAGTCATCTTGATTGAGAGGTGCTGTCGATTTTCGCACGTAACTCGGGCTGTAGGAGAGCTACAGAGCTCTTACGCACAGAACGATCCAGAAGCATCAGGGGCGTTCGGCTGTTGCATCCAGAGGTCTGAAATCGCTCGGGCTGAAAAACTATCCGTTCTCTACAATTTTTTCGACATTATATATGGTCAGGAAGCTCTACGAGTCCCCCGGCGGTAAGAAAGGTTGACGGTTTACGGCCGGCGCCCAGTGAATCGACAGGGCCAGAAACGAAGATGTGACGACTTTGGCTCGGCTTTGCTAAGATTTCAAAGATATTTGATCATTGATTTTCAGAAAGCAGATGTTTTGCACCTGTAATGGGTTGTGTCGCGTCTGCCAGTTAAATTCTTAGGTCCGTAGCTGCAGTGCCTCGTAGAGCTCTTCGGCATCGATGAGCTAGAGGAATTCCGGCGCGGGGTGGAGCTAGTTGGCCCACCCGGCCTGGGCGGACAAAGTGGTAACTTTGAGTCGGTTTAGCTAAGATTTGAAAGATATTTGACCATTCATTTGAGAAACCAAATTTTTGGCACCTATAGTGGGTTATGACGCGTGCGCCTGTAAAATTTTCAGGCCCGTAGGTACAGTATCACTACCAAAACACTTGGAGCAACCGACGTTAGATGAAAATAGAAAAACGTATTTTTTCGAGTTTGTCGGGTCTCGCTGCAGAAGCTTCCTTCATGTGTTCCGAGGGGCGCGGTGTGAGAAAAGAGCTATACGAGGGTCCCGGCGGTAACCTGGTTGACGGTTTACCGCCAGTTCCCAGTTCCGGCGCGGGATGGAGCTAGTTGGTCGAGCCGACCAGAAAGGACAAAGTGACAACTTTTGGGTGGTTTTGCGAATATTCGAAAGATATTTGACCATTTATTTTGAGAGACCAGATTTTTCGCACCTGTAGACAACTGTGAGAGCCTCTGCGTCTCATATGAGCTCTGTAGGCGCACTTTTACTATCAAAACACTTGGGGGAACCAACTTTATGTCGACATGAAAAAAATGAATGTTCAATTTTTTGAGAAATGCCTCGAGAAGCTCTCTCCTTCGACTCTGAGCACTCTTACGCGTGGAAGGAGCTCTACGAGGTTCCCGGCGGTGACCAGGTTGACGGTTGACCGCCGGTGCCAGTATTACTATCAAACACTTGGGGGAACCAACGTTGGATAAAAACAGAAACATGTGTTTTTTCGTGTTTTTTTTCAGGTCTTGCTCCAGACGCTTTCTTCATGACTACCGAGAAGCGCCGTGTGAGGAAAAAGAGCTCTACAAATCGCGTCCTCGTCGTCGCCTCTCGATCGCTCTGGAAGTAACGCGTAGAGCTTTCTTTAGCTAGTTGCTGGAAGCTTAAGAGTACTCCCGGGGCGCTGGAGAGCTAGTTGGCAAGAAAAATTTCGACGGACCTTTTGCCGACTTTTGAAAAATTTTGTTTTCGAAATTCAACCATTCGTTAGAGCTCTAGTATTTCTTCTCATGATGTTCGATCTTATTTCCGCTCGCCGTCTTGATCTCAGCTCGATCGGGTAACTGTTACAGCCAAAAAGCAGGCAGGCGGGATCGGCCGTTTCGAGAGATCTCGACATTCGTTGTCGGTTTTTTGTACTTAACTCGAGCTATAGGACAGCTACAGAGCTGATACTTACAGAAACTGATTTAGAATGATGAGGCACGTTTGTCTGTTGAATCCAGAGCTCTGAATTCGGTCTGCTGCCCGAGCTCGGTCCGCGAAACTATTCGTACTGTTCGAGTCATCCAGAGAGGTGCTGTCGGTTTTCTGCACTTAACTCGGGTGTAGGGGGAGCTACAGGGCTGGTAATCACAGGAATCGATTTGGAGACATCAGACGCGTCTGTCTGTCGCAGTCAGAAATCTGAACTCCGTCCGCTACTCGAGCTAGGTTCGCGAAGCTATTCGTATTGTTCGAGTCATCTTGAGAGTGCTGTTGATTCCCGCACTGTAGGAGAGCTACAGAGCTGATGCGCACAGAAATTGATTCGATATCATCGTGCGCGTTCGTCTGTTGCATCCAGAGGTCTGAACTGGGTTTGCTACTCGGGCTAGGTCCGCAAAACTATTCGTATCCTTCAAGTCACCTTGGCAGGTGTTGTCCCTTTTCTGTATTGAACTCAGGATGTAGGATAGCAACGAGCTGGTACGCACACCAAACGATCCAGAAGGGGCGTTCGGCTGTTGCATCGAGAGGTCTGAAATCGCTCGGGCTGAAAAACTTTTCGTTCTCTGCATTTTTTTTTATATTATATATGGTCAGGAAGCTATACGAGTCTCCCGGCGGGAAGAAAGGTTGACGGTTTACCGCCGGCGCCCAGTTGCAGGCGGGCTCGGAGGTCCGCCAGATTGGTTGCTTGCAGCGCTCCTTGTGCAACCGCTTTGCCGCGCTCTCCGAGGATCTTTTTGTGAACCCCTTAGAGCTCATGCGTGAAGCCATCGTGGAGAATAATCGAGCTAGGTCCGCAAAACTATTTGTATCCTTCGAGTCATTTGACAAGTCCTCTCGGTTTCCTGTACTTAACTGAAGATTTAGAAGAGCTACAGAGCTGGTGCGCATATAAACCGATCCAGTATCAACCGGCGCGTTCTTTCCTCGCATCGAGAGGTCTCAATTCGGTCTGGTACTCGAGCTAGAAACGAAGATGCAGAATGAAAAAACGTATTTTCCGAGGTTTTTTCTTCATGCTGGAGAAAGCTTTTTCGTGTGCTCTGAGCAGCGCCGCGCTCTACGAGGCTCCCGGCGGTTGCCTGGTTGACGGTTTGCCGCTGGATCCCAGTAAAGCCATCGTGGAGGGTGCCCTGGAGACTTCAGATCTTTTTTTTTCAAAATGGTGGTGGTCAATCTTCTGGGTTCCCGAGGCTTTGGGAGGAGCAGCTGGGGATTAAGGAGGAGTGCTTTCATATCAGAAAGCAGTATCGACGGGGGGAGGTGGAGAAGGAGGTGCACAAAACAAGCCTGAAAGGGTGGCGAAAGGTTCGTCGGGGCATGGGTCGTAGCCGGCTGTTGTGCCTGAACTGGGAGGGGTTTCGGCGAAAACCGAAGGCCGCGCGCGTGCTTGTGGAGAGAGAGAGCTGACGCAGGCTGTGAGTAAGTGGGAGGAGGCTCTTCGGACGCACGGTCTGCGTCAGCATTCGCGTGGGGCTCGCCGCCGAGACGCCATCTCTTGTCTTGAGGGGCTTCGGGAGAAATGCCAACCTGTAGGGGCGTCTTGGGGCGCGGGTCAGTCTTGTCCGATGGATATGGGTCTTGTTCTGCGGGCTCGTGCACGTCTGCGGGGGAGGGGGGGGAGGGCACGGGGACAGACGGTATCTCAGCTTCTGTGCTCAAGGCCCTTCCGTGGGATGTTCTTCGCCGCGTTCTCGTCTGCTTTCAGACGTTGTTTGATAGGCAGATTGTTTCGCCATCCTCATGGCGTCAAATCCTGGTTAGTTTCATGCTGAAAGGGCCGAAGGCGCGTAGCTTCGACGAGACGCGTGCTCTTGCTATGCTTTCGGTATGTGGGCAATGGTTCAGTTGTTGTTTAACCATCTTGCTCGAGGCCCAGATCAAGACGGTTGCGCCGAGGGTTTGTCATCTGTATGGCTTTGTTGTTGGGCGCAACTGTTATGATATCACCGCGCCTCTGATGCATCTGGCTAGGCATGCAGTTTTGTGGAAGGTGGAGGATTGCCACATCGTGAGTTGTGACATCAAGCAGGGTTTTGACTATCTCACTGTCCGATCGGCTGCTGCATCTTTGCCTGAGCTTGGAGTGGATCCCGAGATTGTTTTTGCTGTCTTTGGGAGTTGTGCGAGCAACGTTGCAGAATTACTTTTCAGCAGTGTTCAGTCGAGGGCATTGCGCGGGTCTCTTGTATTCGCGCGGGCTCCATGGAGGCTTCAGCATTGTGGGTAGCTAGATCTTTGTGCATGTTAGCGCCTGTTGTTGCACGGTGGCGTGATCGAGGGTATGGTGTGCAGCTTTCGATTGAGGCGTCAGAGTTGCTTGTCAATCATTGGCTTTTGGCCGACAGTGTCATTCGTGCTGCATCGAAGCGCGAAGATATGCTGTCTATGCTCACCGACTTGACGAAAGCTATCCGCCACCAGGCCGTCTCGGTTTCTGGACCTTCCCGACGGCTTTTCTAATTCAGCCGCGTATCTTTGCATTACATCACGTGTTAAGTGTGTTTTCTTTATTGTGTCGCCCATTTCTTTTCAACGGTATATATATATATATATATATATATATATTTGTTTGTTTGTTTATTTGGTTAGTCTCATCCTTTTTGGCTCAATGTTTCGCTAATGTTCTGCCCCCGCCGTGAGCGGGCGATCGCTCTTTACCCAGACTAATCAGAAAGCACGCAGTGGTTCTAGCGAACTACTCCCAGAGCGTCACTGCAACGCTGCTCTGGAAGCTACCCCCAAACGCCTCAGACTCAGGCGTAATCCTTGCAAGCCTTCCCGAACGCCACCAGGCGGTCCTCCTTCTTGGTCACGAACCAGTACTGGTACTCACGAACGTACTGCATCACATCAGATCGACGAACGTGTCGAGGTTTCGCCCATTGCTTGTAGTTGCCGAAGAAGCCGTCCATGTGTTGCGTCCCTCCCCATACCTTCTTCCCGTCGATATTGAACATCTTCGTCCACTCTTCCTTCCCATGAACGACGGCGATCTGCTTCGCTCGATTGCCGAAGATCTTCCTCTTGTTGACAAGGGAATCGTACGTAGCAGCGGAGTCGCTGGAAAGAATGCCAGACTTGAAGTGCTTAGTCAAGAACTTTTTCCCCTCTGGGATGGACAGAGCTGGCGGGCCAGGTGGCACCAACCTCTTGCCGTCGAACTTGATTGTCCCCCCGCTCATCGTCTTCTGCGACCCCTTGATCCTGTACCTCTGCTTCCTGATGGGCAGCTGCTCGATCACGATGTTACGGGGCCCGCGAACCAGCAAAGCTATGATGCGCGTGTGCGAGAACGCGGGCGCTCCTTTCTTGGGGGGCGGGCCTGCGCTGCCACTCGCCACGGACGCTTCGTCGACCTCCACGACGATGCCCTTCCCGCCCTGCTTGCCGAACGACTTCTGGAGTTTCTCCATCTTCGCGACGATGCAGGCCCTGAACTTGCCGTACCAGCGGAAGTCAGACTTCTCGCCCACTCCGCACAGCTGCGACGCTGGAGTAGCCGCGATACCTTCGGAGAAGCACACGATCAGCCCAACGATCTGTCGCAGCGAAATGCCAGAGCCACATTCCCACATGGAACCTTTCCACGCTGATACATAGCCAGAACTTCCACGGCACTTGGGGCACCTGTAGTTGAGCTTCCCGTCGCGCTCCTTCAAGTCGCACAAGCGCGCCGCATTGTGGGCACTGCGCCCACTTCTTCATGAAGCCCAGGTTCTGGAGCTTCTTCGCCAACTCGATCGCGTCCATGCTCAGGAGGTTCACAAGGCTATTCGGGTGGGCCTTGCTTTTCCCCTGATGTCGGTGGCCGCGGCGCTTCTGGTTGCGCTTGATCACTGGGTTCATCTGGGCCTTCGGCGTGTACGGGATGCCGGCGGGCCTCTTGAGCACCGCTGAGCTGCGCAGAGGCTTGCGCGCGCGCGGAGAGTGGCATATGGGCAAGCGCTTGCCCATTGCCCCCCCGCCGTCGCCCCCGAAGCTCGGCGACCCAGAGCGCGGCCGCGCCGCCCCGAGGCCCTGCGCCCGCGGCCTGCCCTTCAAGCCAAATGCTACGGCAAAGAATGATTCAATGTGGTTCAATTCAAGACTTGCTTCTCTGTCATTCGAAACGATTAAAAAGATTGGACCCCCTGGGCAACCCTGACGTCCTGCGGGGCGCCCGCGCCCGCAGGACGTCTTCGGCAACAATAAAAATGGAACAAGTCCTAGGCCAAACCGATCTCGCCGAACGCGCATGCCAGACAGGCCTCGCCGAGCGCAGGAGGGGATATGTGAGGAGGGCGGCGATGGACAAGAGGAGGAGGAGCGAAGCGGTGACGCGGAAACGATGAGCGAGGGGTGACAAGGCGGGGCTGCACTGTTCAAAACTGACTTGTGTTTCCTCCGTCTCAAGGTCCGTCTCAAGGTCCAGCATTCATATAAAGACTTGCGCATGTTGTTTACCTCCCCAAACGATGTGCCCCCGCGGCGGCGGCCTCAGTCCTCGTGCGAGTCGATCGCCACGACGCCGTCGGCTTCGTCGTCGGAGACCCACACGACATCGGCGAAGTAGCGGTCATCATCATCGTCGGTCTCCTCGTCGCCCTCCAGCATGTCGTCGTCCGACGGGCACGCCGTGGAGGACGTCTCGCTGGTATCGACGTCACCGCCCTCGTCGCTGTCCAAATCGGGTTCCGTCCCATCGGATTCCGCTTCGGTGTCCTCGTCGATGCTCTGGTCGCCATCGTGGAAGCTTTCGTCGTCGTCCTCGCCCTCCTCGTCCCAATCGAGGTGGATGGCGGGCGGCGCTCCCAAGTCGGGATGCATGGCGCCGAGGATGCACTGCTCCGACAGCGGCCAGAAGTCCCCCGTGTCCAGCATGCGCATGAGGCAGCCGTGGCACACGCGGGCGGCAGGCAGCGGGAAGCCTGGGGCGGGGGGCGGGGGATGGGGGGGGGGAACGTGCCACGTAATATCTCAGCATATTCACGGGGGGGAGACGGGCCGCTGCCCCCGTCAAGAAAACCCAATTGCAATGCCGCCCCAACACCCCCACCCACTGAACTGCACGGCCATGGGGGCCCGTTGCTTTGCCCTGCAGAGCCGAGCGCTGGGACGCGGTCGCAGACCTCGCACTGCATTGCTCGCACTGGGCTTCCCACCGAGGTGCGCGCGACGAGTTTGAGCCTCAAGTCTAAACGACAAAAAGGAAGAGGAATGCGCTGCGATGATGCCGGTAGCGCGGCAATGATACAATCCCCTTGAAACCCCGCATAGGAACTTTCTGGGTTATGGCTAGCTATCGGTGGGCCGCAGAGGCAAGGACGCACGGGTGCCCGCGCACGCGATGCCCATCCTTGCAACGTGCGCGTCATACATAAATACTTCTGACACATGTACGCGTCTCCCCCAAACGGTCTGGATACCCCCAACAGTAGCATGTATCCCCGAGAGAATTATGCCCTGGGATCGCCACCGAGTGTTCGGGCGACGACGTTCGGCTGCCAGGAATCGATGGAAATCCGTTGCGATGATGTCATAAGCACGGCAATGATGCAATCCCCTTGAACCCCGCCTAGGAGCTTGCTGGGCTATGGCTGGCGCACGGTGGGCCGCAGATGCAAGGACGCGCGGGTGCCCGCGCATGCGATACCAATCCTTGCCACGCGCGCAGCACTCATATAAAGACTTGCACAGTTTGTTTGCATCCCCCAACGATGTGGGTACGCCCCAAAAGTAGCATGCCTTCCCGAGCGAATTCGGCTGCCAGGCGCTGCCAGACTCATCTGCTACGCATGGCCCCCCGCGGCGGCGGCCTCAGTCCTCGTCCGAGTCGATCGCCACGACGCCTGTTGAGGGCGCAGAAGCAGTGCGGCCGAATGGAGGCGCGCAAAAGAATCGCCCGCTACAGGTTGCCAGAATGGCCAACCGTGCCCGCGACCCAACGGGGCGCAACTCAAGCACCCGCTGGTCAACGAACGGGCGGTCCCTTTGACGCCTCGCGAGCGCCGCCCGACTTCTGCCCTCCTCGCGCCTGGGAAAAGCCCCTGAATCGTCTCCTTGTCCACGTGCGTCGCCTCGAACACCTCCCGCTTGGCAGCCCTCTCGGTCGGGCCCCGCTCGATCGGCGCGCGAGGCGACTGCTCCCGCTTGACAATGCACTCCTCCCTCTTGGCGGGCCTGCAATTCTTCAGGGCGGCGAACCCCTCATGGATCGCACCCTTCTTCAAGGCGTTGAACTCCCTGAGCGTGATGGCGCCTGCCTGGTGAAGCCCCCAGAGCCGCTCGATCTCCTGCGCGGGGGTCCCGCGCGGCTGCTCTTCCTCGCCCTCGCTCTCGTCCTCGTAGTCGCCGCGGTCGCCCCCGAAGCGGTCGCACCTGAAGCCGCCATCGAACGGATCGGGGGACGCCGCGCAGTTCAGCTCCCGATCCATGAGTTCCTCCAGATCCTGGGAGAGTCGCACGGCGCCCTGCTCCGCCACGACGTCAGAGTCTGGCGAGGGCCCCGCCGCGCCGTCCAGCTCACGAGCCGCGATGCGCCCCAGGGCCAAGGATAGTCTGCGCGGCTTCGGCGGCTTCTTTCCGAATAGGCCCTGCTCCGCCACGTCGCAGGAGCCCTGATCGAGCTTCACCTTCTTCAACGGGGAGGGAGTGCAGAGGTCGACCTCGACGGGGCCGCCCTTGCGCAAGTCGCGGAAGAAACCCGTGGAAAGCTCCCGCTTAATCGGATCCGTCGGCACCGCGGGCGCAGCGGGGGCGGCCGCGGGCGCGTCCGCTTGCTCGCCGTTCATGGAGCCGCCCAGGCCGAACGGGTCCTCTGCCTCCATCGCATGGCTCTCCTGGCCGCTCAGAACCATCCGCCCTGCCGAGCTCGACGGCGGCGGCGCGGCGGCGCCCGCGGCTGGCTCGGCCGCTGGGCCTGCGGCCTCCGCGGGGACGCCGAACTCGGCGCCGCGCTTGGCCATGATCTCCATGACCATCTTCTTCTCGTATGCCATGACCCTGTCGAACTCCTCCTCGTCGCGCTTGACCCCGCTTGACCCCGCTGGCACGGTGCACCTCTTCAGCATCGCACCGACGTTGCGCTGCGAGCAATTCTTCGGGAATGTCGGCCTGATCATGTCTGTGAGGATGGCGGTCGTCTGCTGGTCGGCGTCGGCGGCAGTGGATGCCATCGCCCACTGCTGAGCTGTCGGCGCTGCACTTGCGTCGTACTCGTTCTCTCCGCCAAAACGGGCCTGGCCGCGCACGAATTTGGCAGCCCCCCACCTGACGTACGCCATGGACTCCGCCTGAGTGGGGTCGAAGAAAGCTTTCAGCACCTTCGGCCTCTGCTCGAATAAGTCCCCGTCGTCGAAGATGCACGGGGCCCAACGCTGCCCGACTTCACCGCGGAAAAAAATCCATGTCGGGCGCTGTCCGCACAGCGGCCACCGCGTCGGCGCGGCCAGTCGCCCTGTTCTCCGCGTCGGCGTTGTGCCTGGCGCTCGCCATGGCCATCGACATCATGTACGGTGTCTTGCCGAAATTGGCCTCGCCCACGCACAGGACGGTGTTGGTGTCCAGCGTCTCCATGGTGCGCCGCGTTGCGTCCTGGTACTCATCGCGAACATCTGGGAGAAGGACTGGGTAGTAGTCCAGCTTATTGGCGAAGTGATCGCGGTCCCGCAGTACCTTGAGGACCGCGTTGATGAGCTCCCGCCTCGACTTGTGAATTGGCGACGAATGGTCAACCAGCTCACAGTCCACCCACTCCAACTGCTCGCAGTCGGCGTTTGTGCGTGGAGCTTCGTCCTTAATGTACTGGATGCCCTCCGAGAGCTCCTTCTTCTTCTCCTCGACGTCCACGTCGCCGCCGCCAACTCTGGGCGCGGGTGCGCACAAGAACTCCCAGTATCGAACTTGGACACCGCCCAGGCGTTGGAACAGGATCTGCATCGTGCGAGCAGAGTTGAACGTATCCTTGCGCCAGTCCAAGACGTGCATGTTGCCGCGGACGATGCTGTCCCTCACGAAGTGGCTCTTCTCGCCGCCAATGAACTGAATCCACTTCACGATGATCGGGAGCCCGTCTGCGACCCTCAGCGTGACAGCGAGATTCATCGTACATGGTGGCTCTGCCTCGGGGTCGCTGAAGCACAACGGCGGAGGCAATTCCTTATATTTGCCTTCCGCCATAAGGTCCTTCACTTTTTCCCAGTCCGTGGCGGCCATCTCGGCGGCGTCGGCATCAGTGACGATGTCGACGACGGACTTCGTGGAACCGCTGCCGCGAGCGTTCCAAGGCTTGACGGGCAGGTCGTACACGTCCACCGACCCCTTGCGGTCGAGGGTGCCGTCTATCTGCGGTTTGCCAAGAGGCGTCGCCTTTTTCATGCCCTTCGCCATATCCCACGCACCGACGAGCGCGTCGCTCGTCATGCCCTCGACGCCCATGTGGACGCCGAGCGACTTCGTGCCCTGGGCGGGCACGTTGGCAGCCACGGCGGCATCGCCACGGGCGGCCATCGCTTGGAACACTGGTGGAGGAGGGGGTCCACGTCAGCGCGCCTGTTGCCCGCGGGAGTGGCGGACACCTTGAGCCAAATGGCACGTCTGTCGAGGGAGCCCAGGATCCAGCACCCGCGGCTGCTAAATGTTTGTGTTTGGGATCTATCGTACCTCTGGCCAGTGGAGGCGCACGCGCGGGTTCTGGCGCATGCCTCGCTTGCCCAAGGAATCCGAGGTCTGGCGGCGAAGGGGGCGCGGGGAATGGCAACGATGCGTTTTCTCAACAGCTACGGCTGCTCGTTTTCGCCGGCGGGTCTCTTCTGGACCTCTGGCGGTCGAAACAACAGCGTTGGTTGCGGCAGTGGCCTCTTTGCCGAAGGAATCCAAGGTCTCGCGACCAGAAAATCACGGAGTGCAACAACGATATGTTTTTCCATCAAGCACGGCTGCTTCGCTGAGGTCGCGGCTTTCGTTTGGGTCTCTGGCGGTCGGGATGCGCGCGCTGGTTGCGGCAGTGGACCGTTTGCGTAAGGAATCCAAGGTGTCGC